ATTTGTATTACAAACAAGTTTTTTTTTTTTTAGAAGCAATAACAACGTAATAAACATAACGCATACTGAAGACACCTTTTATTAGTATCTCATCTGTATGGCAACAATTTTTGAGTGTATTTTTTAGCTGCAACTGACATTCTCGTTTCTTGACGTTTTTTCCTGTTTCGGCAGAAAAGGATTTGGTGTTTCACCACTGTAATTGACAAATTTAATTGAAAAAGCGAAAAAAAAAAAACGGAAATTTGTTGCAATATCAGCACCGTTAACATCTTTTCTTTTTTTTTTTGTGTGTGTGTGTCTTAGTTGCTTAATTTATAAACCAATGTACCAAACTGAGTAATCATTTAACAGTTGACAATAAAAATAATTGCTTTTTTTTTTGTGCAGTAAAGAGAAAAAAGATTACTGTCACAGAAATTGGATTTAACATAAAAGTTGTAGAACATACTTATTAGATATTTTCATAAAATTATCCACAATAATAGTGATCGGTAATGCTAACACTAAAACGCCAGAAATAATTGCTCCACTAGCGATTAATTTACCAGCTAAATTTCAATTTAAATTAGATAAATCAAAACAAAAGAATTGGATGGAATATACTGTTATAATTAATATAACTACTTATGATGTCATCAAAAACAGTCATTTTTTTTTTTTCTAAACTTATAATTTTCATTTTTCAAATAAGTTTCAATTTTTGATTATACGGCAATTAATACCTGCAAATTTATAGTGATAAGAAATACAAATAATATAGGATCAGTTTGATTATTAAATTAACTTACTGGATGTTACTGGTACATAATCACCGTATCCAACTGTAGTCATCGTAACAATTGCCCTATAAATTTATGGCTTTTTATCAACAGTACCACAATGATGTCAAATTATTTTCAGTTTATAAGTTTTCTAAATTCATAGTTGCTTACGAGGTTTCATGCTATTTTTTTTTTGTATTTTTCTACTTTCAACTTTGTAGTTGACGGAGCAGAAACACTGGTATATTAGGCGAAAATTCATATTTATCATTGTAAAGAAGAAAAAAAAAATTACCACCAAAATGCAGCAGGTATAGAGGTAAACGGTGAATCATTTTCATCTTTTTCAACATAATAAAGCAATGTTGAAAAGAATACAACACCGGTTGTTAGCACCATACCCATCATTCCCAATTGTCGAGCACTACTACGAAGTGTTAATGCAAATGTTTTCATACCGGAGCTGTATCGTCCAAGCTTTAATATTCTTACAACACGTAATACCCGCAGTATACGAATAACTAGTAAAGCTCCTAAAAAAAAAAGAAAGCCTTATTAAAGCTATTCTATTTTACAAAGTGTTTTTTGTTCACAAATATAAGTAGTCTTGATCATCATTAAAGTAATAAAAACTGTTTACAAATTGATAGCAAAGAGTAGCATTAGAGAACTGTGGAATACCTTTAATATCGCTTAGACTTTCCACGTCGACACCACATAATGAAAGTCCAATTTCTAAGTAAAATGGAATGATTGCGGTTAAATCAACAATATTCATTATAGTACAAAAAAACTGAAACCGATTTGGTGCAACGATAAATCTGATAACATATTCAAGTGTAAACCAAAATATACAAAGTGTTTCTGCATAACCAAATATTGGTAACGGTTCCCAAACAATATTTTCATTATAATCTAAACCTGAAAATTTTAATCACTGTTTTTAGCACTGAATTGTAGCAAAAATAATTAAGCACAAAAAAAAAAAAAGAAGTAAATGTTTTTTGGTAAAAGTACCAAAAAAAAATTATCTTTTTTTGTTCATTAAACTTTTCAGATCTTTTTTGCATTTCTGAATTGAATAAGTTTTGAAACGATACAGTTTCGAGATAGTTAGCTGCAACTCCTTTTTTTTGTTCCCTTTTTTGACAAATATTATTCAAAAACTTTCGTCGTATTCAAATAGTTTTAAAAAAAAAATCTTTTTTTTTTTTTTTTTTTTTTTTTTTT